GGGTCTAATCTCATCTACCATTGCTCATCCTAGTCCTTAGTGTACACTGTTATTAAAGTTCTACTGGTTTTGAGGCTAAATCTCCAACTCGATTCTATTATCAGTTTGCTTCTACACATAAACTCCGACCAACATCATGTTGTAAAGTGAAAGAAATATCAAGTCCCCCATTAGATGCTGCCACTAACATATGCAATTAAGTGTTCATGTTAATTTTTACTTTGTTTTTCCACATGAAAAACAGTCATAAAAATTAATTTTGATCTGATCAGACCAGAGCTCTTTTCTCTGTATTTGCCTTGTCTCTCGTTTGGCTCGTGATAAACAGCAAAAGGTGAATAATAAGCCAAACATAAATGATGATGGTTTCCCTACATTAATACGATTAAAACTGTAGTCAATTCTTTAACGTTAATAAAACATTTTTACAGGGTTCAGCAGGAAGGGGTTGGGGGGGTTCCAAGTTGGCCCCTGCCGTCTTCTTCCATGCCCCTTCACAGCAGAGCTCACAGTGGAGGAGCTAACAATGGTGCATTTCTTACACATTAAGCCTCAGAAATGTGCTTTTCTGCTACCTGTTTTTCCGTATGAATGCAGTACGCTGACTAACCCCTGCTCTTCAGCAACAGCCTCCATTTCACTCCACTGTTTCCTCAAGTCACAAAAAAGTGAGAAAAAAATAGGAACCCTACATTGCTTATACAGGTGCTGGTCTTAAAATTAGAATATCATGAAAAAGTAGATTGATTTCAGTAATTCCATTTAAAAAGTGAAACTTGTATATTATATTCATACATTACATACAAACTCATATATTTCAGATGTTTATTTTGTTTAATTTTGATGATTACAAATGACAACAAATGAAAATCTCAAATTCATCATATCAGAAAATTAGAATATTGTGAAAAGGTTCAAAATTGATGGCCCCTGGTGCCACACTCTAATCAGCTAATTAACTCAAACCACCTGCAAAAGCCTTTAAATGGTCTTTCAGTCTAGTTCTATAGGCTACACAATCATGGGGAAGACTGCTGACTTGACAGTTGTCCAAAAGACGACCATCGACACCTTGCACAAGGAGGGCAAGACACAAAAGGTCATCGCTAAAGAGGCTGGCTGTTCACAGAGCTCAGTGTCCAAGCACATTAATAGAGAGGCGAAGGGAAGGAAAAGATGTGGTCGAAAAAAGTGTACAAGCAAGAGAGATAACCGCACCCTGGAGAGGATTGTGAAACAAAACCCATTCAAAAATGTGGGGGAGATTCACAAAGAGTGGACTGCAGCTGGAGTGAGTGCTTCAAGAACCACCACACACAGACGTATGAAAGACATGGGTTTCTGCTGTCGCATTCCTTGTGTCAAGCCACTCTTGAACCACAGACAGCGTCAGAAGCGTCTTGCCTGGGCTAAAGAGAAACAGGACTGGACTGCTGGTGAGTGGTCCAAAGTCATGTTCTCTGATGAAAGTAAATTTTGCATTTCCTTTGGAAATCAAGGTCCCAGAGTCTGTAGGAAAAGAAGAGAGGCACTTCATCCACGTTGCTTGAAGTCCAGTGTAAAGTTTCCACAGTCAGTGATGGTTTGGGGTGCCATGTCATCTGCTGGTGTTGGTCCATTGTGTTTTCTGAGGTCCAGGGTCAACGCAGCCACATACCAGGAAGTTTTAGAGCACTTCATGCTTCCTGCAGCTGACCAACTTTTTGGAGATGCAGATTTCATTTTCCAACAGGACTTGGCACCTGCACACAGTGCCAAAGCTACCAGTACCTGGTTGAAGGACCATGGTATCCCTGTTCTTAATTGGCCAGCAAACTCTCCTGACCTTAACCCCATAGAAAATCTATGGGGTATTGTGAAGAAGAAGATGCAATACACCAGACCCAACAATTCAGAAGAGCTAAAAGCCACTATTAGAGCAACCTGGGCTATCATAACACCTGAGCAGTGCCACAGACTGATCGACTCCATGCCACGCCGCATTGCTGCAGTAATACAGGCCAAAGGAGGCCCAACTAAATACTGAGTGCTGTACATGCCCATACTTTTCATGTTCATACTTTTCAGTTGGCCAACATTTCTATAAATCCTTTGTTTTTATTGGTCTTCAGTAATATTCAAATTTTCTGATATGATGAATTTGAGATTTTCATTTGTTGTCATTTGTAATCATCAAAATTAAACAAAATAAACATCTGAAATATATGAGTTTGTATGTAATGTATGAATATAATATACAAGTTTCACTTTTTAAATGGAATTACTGAAATCAATCTACTTTTTCATGATATTCTAATTTTATGACCAGCACCTGTATGTGGAGGAAAACAATATATGGCAGTAACACTTTGTTTTTCTAAGATGTAGACACATTCAACGTTTATATCAGGTTTCAGAAAACAAATTATGAGAACACCTACATTTCCTGATTTGTTCACCAGTGTTTTTCAGTGTTGTTTTGTATCTCAGGATTCAGCATCCTAATTAGCCCCTAGGAGATTCATCCAACAGTTTGTGATTTTTTCCTGATTTTTAATCAGTCTAATTTTTCCCTCCGACACACAGGCACGTTCAACAGCATACGCACAAAGCCTTTGTTTGCATAATGTGTTCACTGTCTGTTCCTCTGGGACTGAGCAATGTTTGTGTATCCCCACATCTAAGGGTATCCGCTGCTGCAGCTTTTTGTGGGTGTTTGTGCATGCATGGGCACAAGATTGGGCAAGTTTATTTGTATGTGTTTAGGAAGGGAGGGAGCACAAATCTCTTCACCACCCTACCCCCAGCCAACAGCACACTTCTTTTAGTCTGATGCCCTGGATGGAGCTTGGCCATGATTACACTGACAATTCAAAGGCACGCACGGGAGAGAAAAAAATAACCTTCTGCCAGAGTGTTTTTTCTTGTTGTGTTATGGAAATTAGATTTTCTATCTCACTTCATTCTCTATACTTCACTATCTCCTTGCCGAGAATAGGTCTGTCTCGTCTGTTAACATTAACTCGTTTCTAAGTGCTGTTCTCAATACCCAAGTTGAATTTTACCATCTTAAAAAGCACCAACAATTAAATTTTCCTACATAAATTGACGCCCCTCTAAAGTGACAGTTCTCTTATTAATCAGACTTTTATGTTGTCTAGATAGCAGACTATCAAACCTGCTTTTGGAAGATAATTTCTATTAAAATTACTGTCTACTTAGCTTTTGTTGCAGTACCATAATTTCACACTTCAGAAATTTTGAAAACCAAGCCTTTCATTTGAGTATTCACATTTGAAAATAATTAACTTTTACCAAATTACTGATGCCTTAACTAATGGCATCGTAGGTAGTAATATTTTCTGCAACCCTGGTTGTTTTTAACAGGGTGGTAATCAGTCTTCTCTTGGAGCATTTCAAGTTAACAAAGATTAAATGATGTCCTATACTCTTTTCAACTCACTGCTAACACTTTGTGATTAAACTTACATTATATTGCCAAAACTACTAAAGAACTCCTCCAAATGACTGAATTCAGATATATAAAACCCAACACCCAGTCATCCAGGCTCATACTTTAAACATTAATGAGAGAATGGATCACTCACTGAATGAAATATCTGGCACTGTGATGGGGTGCCACTTTGTTTTTCATTATAATAAAATGGATACTATTGGGAAGAGAAAATTGTCCAGGGTAATTCTTGGTGGAGGAGGCATTTTCATTGTACTGTGTTTTTCAGTTCAGCTTGTCCTACTCTGGCAGAATCTTTTATTCTTCATTCTCACAGACATCATCCCCTTTGCCTCCTCTGTCGCTGTGATGCAAAACCTATGACACACAGTGACTATGTCATGATTCTGCCCTTTCTGGACTTTTTTGTTTTGTTTAAGTTTTCTTTTTGGGTTCTCAGTTATGCTTTATTTGATGTTATTCTGTGTTTGTCAAGATTTATATTATTTTTGAATTCTTAGTTTTAGTCTCCTTTGTAGGTTCTTTCCGTTATCCCTTTCAGCATTTATGATTTTATGTATTCTTTGGTCTACTTCTAGTTGAAGTCATTAGTTTTATTTCCTTTAACTTTATTTAAGTTATTTCCTAGTGACAGTTAGATCCAGTTAAGAAATGGAAATATCATGAGAGCTGTACAAAATGAAATTTCGTTTTGTATACCAAATTACAATAAAGGTTGTCTAAGTCTAACTCAGTATTCCCTGGTTATTCTTTGTTGCACCCTAGTGTCCCTTTTCTTTCTCCTTAGCTCCTTTTTTTTTCTCATGTCCACACCTGCTCCATATCAACTGATTAGCGCATTCATTGTTTGTTTCTCCCATATATACACCTCCTGTGCAGTTTCTCTTTGCTGGATTCTATTTATTACTATGTATGTTCCTCCCCAGTGTCTCCTTGTTTTGATTCCTAAGTTCCCTGCCTATTCAATGTGGATTTATGCTTCTGTAGCCACTAACTTCATTAAACATACAAGAAACCCTCTCTGCTTCTACCTTCTACCTGAGTCCTCTATAAACATCCACCAAACCTTTCCAAATCCCGTACATAGTATTCATCCAAGTAGAACAGCATTTTAGTTTCCTGCCAGAGAGGGGTAACTTTGAATATAAAAATTATATATAAATTATACAAGTTTATTTAAGTTATACAAGTGAATACTTTCTACTGAACATTTAAGACTTTCTTTTTTGAGGGTTGTTTATTTTGTTAACAGGCTCAACTGCACTGTATTTTGGTGTATCCAGCATTTATACTGTAACCTTGTGTTGTTTATTTGTGAGGTTGGTTATGTCTTTCTTTGAGTCAGAGTGCTCTCCCAAATACAGTAATGAACAGGGCGAGCCACACCACAGATCAATACATAAATGTGACAAATTAAGTGGCATTCACAGTGACAGCTGTAAGCATTTTAAAACCACTGTGACACTCATTCTTGTTGGTGCCTGTTTGTGTCAGGTTTAGGTTTTCAGACTCTGAATAAGAGCAATCACGGAGGCAAGAATCAGTTAAAGGATTTTATTGAAGGTTTGAGGCTGTGCAGAGAGAAGCCCGGCAGGCAGGGTTTTCTGGATACTGCTGGAAGAGTTGGGAGACAGGTGAACAACAGTTGGGTGCTGGTTGAAAAGTGTGGGATGTATGAGACTCACAGAGAGGGCGACTTGGTGTCTGTCTTGGGAGGATGGTGACCAGTGGTCCAGGCGAATGGTGCAGGTCCGGTGGGTGAGATCTGATGGTGGTGTCTGAGGGTGGACAGGCAGGCGAGCTCAGGCAGGAGGGCTTTAATAGTTCAGAGGCCCATAACCTCACTGGTTCCTTGAGGCTGACTGATAAGTCTCTGACAGGTGTCCAGAGCGAAGAGGTCTCTTGAGTGGTTTCTGGCTTGGGATCCCGGGTTCTAAGAGAAGGAGCAAGAGAGTTCAGGGTTAGGTTTTGGCTAGGCTAAGAAGCAAGGCTTGGTAAAGGATCAGTTGTACCATGCTGGAGCATTAACGAACTGACGCCCTCCTCCTGGTTCCAGCTCCTTAAGAAAGGTGGGAATCAGCTTGATGAAGAACACTTGCCCGTCCAGACCTGCAGACAGGAAGAAAAGGAACATCCGGCACCCAGGCCTAGTTGTATGACAGCACCCCCCCTTTAACGGACGCCCCCTAGCGGCCGTCCGGTTGAAGAAGACTCGAACTCTGTAATAAGAGAAGGGTGAAGAATACATGAGCGAGGAACCCAGGAGCGTTCCTCTGGGCCATAACCCGCCCAATCCACCAGGAACTGGTGGCCCCGACCACAACGCCTAGAGGCCACAATCTTGCGGATTGTAAAGGCCTGGTGGAGGGGGCTCGGCAGGAGGGCACAGCCGGCTGGAGGAAACAGGCTTGATCTGAGAAACATGGAAGGTGGGATGTACACAAAGATGAGGAGGGAGTTTGATGCTGGAGGAAGTTAAAAATGTAAGAATTAAGAGGGATCACCAAGATTACTTGAGCCATGATGATAAAAGCCACTTTAACACAGCAGCTATGCTAGGCTGAAGCCCAATGATGTTAAAAAAATCTAAATTAAAATGTTGGTTAATTTGTCAGTCAGAATAAATTGTGGCATCTGAATAAGTCTGTGAAAGGCCTACCCATTAGGTTGCCAGGCAACAGCGAATCATATTGGAGTGAATTAATGTGTGATTTTCAGGCAGAGAGAGCATAGAGATACAATGAGGCTGGATGATAAAGAGGTTCCTATGATCTCCAGCATTCTAAGCCTATAGCAGCATAACGTTAGAGATAGTTAAGGAAACCGCAGTCACTCTAACTATAAGCTTTATGAAAAAGGAACGTCTTAAGCCTTGTCTTAAAAGTAGACAAGGTGTCTGCCTCACGGACTAAAACTGGTAGTGGGTTCCACAGAGAGGAGCCCTATAACTAAAAGATCTGCCTCCCATTCTACTTTTAGAGACCAGGAACCACTAGTAAACCTGCAGTTTGAGAGCAAAGTGCTCTGTTAGGAACATAAGGAACAATCATATCTCTGATATAAGATGGAGCTTGGCCATTAAAGATGTTATTTGTGAGAAGGAAGATTTTAAATTCTATTTTAGATTTAACAGGAGGCCAATGAAGAGAAGCCAGGATAGGAGAGATATGATCTCTTTTTAATTTTCATCAGAACTCTGGCTGCAGCAATTTGGATATGTTGAAGGCTTTTTGTGGAGTTCCTGATAGTTAAGAATAGTCCAGCCTTAAGTAAAAAATGCATGGACTAGTTTCTCAGCTTCCCCCCTGGACAGGATATTTCTATTTTTTGATTGCAGAGACGAAATAAGAAAATTCTGAAAATCTCATTCACTTGGGATTCAAATGACAGTTCCTGATCAAAAATAATGTCAAACTTCCCAAATCCACTTCTATAAGAATATTCAAAATCTTCCACGAGCACACAGTGAAAACTTTCAATCCTTTCTAAAAGAGTTGAAGCTATTTATAGTTGCAAAGGGTGGGTAACATCATAATAAATCTTTTGAATTTAAAGCTGGATACAACTAAGAGCATGTGTAAGAGGACAAATATGCAAATAATTTAGCACAAGGGTTCATGTCTATATATTTGATACTGCAAATATTATGTAGAATCAGACATATGTATGCAATTCTTTAACAGGTTTTTCTATGCTACTGCTCTTTTTTCTTTCTTTTTCCTTTTTATTTAAAGTAAAACTATGAAAACAATAGAAATTCAGTAATATCATATTTGGGCTCCAATGGAACAAGAATGGGCAGAGTGGTGGTGCAGTTTGTAACGCTGTCTGGTCTACTGAAAAAGCATGCATACCTTGCATGTATAGATACTCTCAAGGTATTCCAGCCTACTCCCTAAAACATTACTACTTGGTTGGTTGGTAACTCTACATTGCCTTTGAGTGCTGGTTTCTGTGCATGGTTGTCTCTGTGTTGCCAAGTGATGGACCGGCAAACTGTACATGGTGTACCTTGCCTTTTAGGCACAGACTGCTGGAAACCCTAATCTAACCAGATCCCTGTGACCCTAAGTAGATGGATGGATGAAACCATAACTCATATTTCCAATTTAAAGGTTCTTGACGCTCTTATAAACTTTAATGATTAACTTTAGATTCCAGCTCATCCTTCATCAATCTCCCCAAAGTGCTTTGTTCACCTTTGCTTCACAGTTCACAGGGCTGTTGTCATGAGTCCCTTCCCGTACTCCCTCGTTACCCACGACTGCAGACCTGTCCATGGCTTCAACCCCCTCATCAAGTTTGCAGAGGACACCATGGTGACTGGCCTCATCAGAGACAATGATGAAGCAGCCTACAGGGAGGAGGCAGACCGTCTGGCTGAGTAGTGCAACACAAACAACCTGCAGCTGAACACCAAAAAGACCAAGGCGGTCATCGTGGATTTCTGGAGGAACACTGACCCACATCGACCCATCCACATCAAGGGGCCTTGGTGGAGCGAGTGGACAGCTTGAAGTTCCTGGGAATCCACATCTCCGAGGACCTGACCCGGATGACCAGCTGCTCCAAACTCATCAAGAACATGCACAAGAGCCTCTTCTTCATGAGGAGCCTTAGGAAGAACCATCTGTCCTTAGAGATCCTCACAAACTCCAACCGCTGCACCATCTAGAGTATCCTCACCAGTTGTATCACAGTTTGGTATGGGAACTACTCTGCCTCAGACCGGAAGGTGTTGCAGAGGGTGGTGAAAAGAAGCGCAGTCTGAAAAAGGCCTGGAAACTCACCAAAGTCTCCACTCACCCTGCACACACACTGTTCTCACTCCAGCCCTCTAGGAGGTGTTAAAGTAGCCTACACACTAATGTCCTACAATGGGGAAATTCACCATCTGCATTTGACCCATTCCCTTGGGGAGCAGTGGGCTGCCATTTTTTAGTGCCTAGGGAGCAGCGTGGGGTTAAGGGTTTTGTTAGGTAACTCTCTGTTTATATACACCATTCATAGCCAATGCATACATAGTCTCTGTACACATTTAAATAAATATTTATATCCTATATAGCACTTCATGGATGCAAACTACATTTTGTTGTTTTGTATTTGTGAAAGTGTAATGAAAATGGTATTCCTTTGTTAACAAAAAAACAACTACTTTTTATATGTCTAATGTGGCATTCTTATGTTTCATTAGCTCAAAGTTAAAATAACTAAAATCACTATCAATTGAAACAGAAACTTCAGGTGTTTCCCTCTGTGTGAATGGAAGAAAGTAAGAAGAGTGGTGAGAGCAGCAGGAGGATCATCGAGAAAGAGTTTTTGTAGCATCCGCTGCAGGTCCAGCAGGTTCTGCAACAGTTTCTTTCCCACTGCCATCTGACAGATGAACTGTTAAGAAAACTCGAAATCATGTCACAGACTGTGCATCACACTGATAACACCAAACCAAAATACTGCATATTTACACCATATATATTTAATGCTCTGAACTTCCATAACAGTGCGTTTTTTGCACCATGTTTTTTCTCCCACACTGTTTACACTTGATCACTGCTGCACTTTATAGAATGGAAATGTTCTGAAAGCTGTACAAAACGAAATTTTGTTTTGTATACACTATCTGTATACAAAATTACAATAAAAGTTGTCTGAGTCTCTAACAAGACAAGAATATACATGATTTGATTTTTTAAATATTTTTAAATACACTTTCAAGCTTAATCTTCAAAGCATAAGAAAATCTGATGCAGCATTACTGCAGTTTAACCCAAGTCATCAGATATTGGTACTCTGAGATGTTTAGCATATAGGATAGCAGCAATGTGTAAACTAATCTCTAAGCATCACCATCAAGGTGTATCATAATCAGGGAGATTTTCAGCTGAGTGTGTAAGTGGATGTATTTATTACTGGGATTTTCAAGTCAGTGCTTGGCTTATCCCATGCAGCAAGCTGAAAACAAAGCTAAATTGTGCTGCACCTAATAGGAACTTCCAGTGTTTGCTGATTTTGAGGAAGTAAAGGGATTAAGTGTAGAGATAATGAAACCTGACTTTTTTTGTGGTGGCTTCTTGTGTAAAATAAATCAAATAATCTATACAAACAAAATGATCCATCTACATGAGGCAAATACAATAATGATAATAAACAGTTATTAGTGGAACCAAATGATTTTCTGAAAATGTATGTTTTGCATTTTGTTCTGTTTTAATGAGGGAATGCTGATATCATACTAAGAAAACTTGTGTAAACCAGCGTCATTGAATCACAATGTGAAATTAATTTCATACTTGAAAAATCAATTAAGTTAATCTGCCCGTAACTGCAAACAAAGACACAGCTGCAGAGCTGCAAGAGAATTTCTTAATCCCAGATAATTAATAAGGCCCTCATAAAATGCTTGTTTGATTCCGCTTTACTGCAATCATTTCAAATATGGCAACACTATTCCTTATCAGGCAAAAAAAGAAAGAAAAAAAACAGAAACAAAACAACAACTGAAAAAAAAGCAACCATAAATTGCAAAAGGTTCACAGCACACTTTCTTTACTACCAGAGCTGGCGTTTTTCTATTCATAGAACCCCTTTTGGAAATACGAAGCAGTCATAATGGAGCCAGGATCTGATTAACCTTCTCGCTTGCCAGCACAATAGCATCCTACCCTGAGACTCAGCTCTGTAATGGAGTCCGCTATCACCAAGCCTACTCCAAACATTCTTCGCACCGCAGGACTCGAAGACCAGATTGGAATCCCTTAACTCCCCTCTGCACTCGGCACACAGTGGGGGAAACAAAGCACCCTCTAAGCTGATGCCCCTCAACATTAATCTATCTCTGTGCTCCACTTGCACACATCCACACACCACAGGCATCCTATTTAGAGCCTTTGTTACAGTTTTTCATTCATAATCTCAAACTCCCATGAATAATGAGTTCAGAAAAAGAGGGTATTGTCTAATTGCAGAATCTTTAAGCATTGCTTTTTTAGGGTTTACCTCTACGTTACTTCTGTACTCTTATTTTTGCCAATTTATAAGCTACAACACATAATTGAACCATAAATAGAGCAAAATGACTTCAATGCAGCGTGATAAGGATCTTTAGGATAACAGCTTTTCTTAGTCTCCACACATAAGGTTCACATAAG